ACTTCTAGAATTTTCCCAGCTAATATTTCCTGACCCTAACTGGCCATAGATAACAAAAACTATGAAAAGGAAATCTGGAAAGCCAAACTATTGATAAAGGGGAACTATTCTAGGTACATCTTCCTGCCTATCCCCCCCCCCCAAATTAACCAGGGTTCAGAGAGCAGTAAGATGCATTCCATTTCTGCTTAAAAGTCTTTTTTGTATTTATTTTTATTTTCATGTGTGTGCATGTGTGTGTGAGCGCACGCACTTGCTGACAGAGACTAGAAAAGGTCATTGGATCCCTTGGAGCTCAGGCATTTGTGAGAAACCTGACATGGGAGCTGGGATCCAAAACCCAGTCCTCTGCAAGAACAGCCACTGCCTCTTAACTGCTGGGCATCACTCAAGCCCCAGTTTCTATACTCTTGTTGTGACTTTAAAACCGTATCAAGACATAAGCATATGGCTATCACTCAAGGGCACCCCTTTGTAGTATTGGCGGAGCTTATAAACTCACACGTTGTTCCAACAGATGAACACAATGGATGCTCTCACTTTTTCTCTCAAGACATCCTTACATGGCCTAAGGATGAACTGCTGTCCCTCAGTTCTACTCCACCACACTCTATCAGGGGTCCAGATGAAAGCTGTCGGTACCGTGTGTGTGTGTGTGTGTGTGTGTGTGTGTGTGTGTGTGTGTGTGTGTAACTGTCAATATAAGCGCTGTAATTAATGTCACCAAAAGCATTTTCATTTAAGTCAGGGGCTGGAGAGATGATGGCTCCATAGTTAAGAGCACTTGCTGCTCTTGCCCATGACCAAGGTTTGGCCCTCAGCACCCACATAGTAACTCACAACTGTGTGCAACTCCAGTTCCAGGGGATCTAATGCCCTCTTCTGGCCTCTGCAGACACTGCACCACTTGGTGCATAGACAGACAGGCAAAACACACATTCATCACATCAAAAAAGAACGAGTAAGCCAGGCTGTGCTGGCACATGCCTTTAATCCGGCACTCAGGAGGCAGAGGCAGACGGATCTCTAAGTTTGAGGCCAACCTGGTCTACAGACTGAGTTCCAGGACAGACAGGGCTACACAGAAAAACCCTGTCTCAAAAACAAAAACAGAGAGAGAGTCTAAGAGTACTGGAGGTGATAAACTATAGTCTCCACTTTAAAAAAAAAACCTCACAACAGCACAGCCATTTTGCAATGCCCCCCGCCCTGCATTCCAAGTGCAGATCATCATCTAGCCCGTGAGCACTTACCTGATTGTGATCATTTTTCTTTCCTTGCCAGGTTGGTAGAATCTTTTCATTTTCATGATGTCTTTCGGAGTCTGGAATTGTGCAGAGTTGATGAAGAAGAGGGGCTGAGGGATTTTGGAGTAGAGCTCCTCACTCACTGGATACATCCATGGATCGAGAGCAACCCCACACCTGCAGACATTGTTGGCAGTGATGGAGAATGACGGGTTACAGGCCGGCCAGCAGGGACAGTCCTATCACAGACTTACTACAAGGATCTCAAAGGTGCAACAATGGACTCTGGGACACTGCTGGCCTGGTAATGCTTGATTACTTCTTTTTGGAGTCATTACATAAAGAAGGCTATTTCCTTAAAAGTTTTCCATGTTCATTTTTGTCACAAGGTTTTCAAAATACATTTAAGTCAGTTGAAATTTCTTCAAAACTGAAAAATTGCAATTTTGCCTTATTTCTTCTGTGCTTCAAACATTGTTCTTCTTAGTTTTTTTTTTGTGCGTGTGTGTGTGTGTGTGTGTGTGTGTGTGTGTGTGTGTGTGTATACATTGGGGGGTATGTACCAATTTCCAGAGAAGCCAGCAGATGGCGCCAGATCTCTCGGAGCTGGAGTTAAGGTGGTTGTGAACTGCCTGAAGTGCTGGGAAATGCATAAGAGTGCACGCTCCTCCCTGCTGATCAATCTCTCCAGCCCATCTCCAAAGTCTTGGGTGCTTCACAGTATGTCTATTACACCTATTTCATGGTAACAAGATACCCCAGACACACAGGACTGTATTTAGGGGGTAAAACACATGAGGCATACCTTGTGAAAATATAACTTTGGGGGCTGGAAGGATGTCTCCATGGTTAAGAGTCTTTACTGTCCTTTCAGAGGAACATGCTAGATGGCTCACAACTACCTGTAACTCTAGCTCCAGGGGGTCTGACACCTCCAGCCTCCTTGGGTGCTTGCACTCACATGTATGCACACACACACACACACACACACACACACACACACACACACACATGCACACGTGCACACATACACACAGAGATACACATACAAATAAATAAAAATAATAAAAATAAATCTAAAAAATTTAGAATCAAATTTTCTTTTTCCCACTAAGTTTGATCCTGTTCCCTGGTGTTTTTGGAAATCCACAGATATGCTGAGGAGATGACAGTAGAGAATGCCCTTACATGAGAGGAAAATGTCTCCAAAGGTCCAGCCCATTTGATGACAGAGAGTTGGTTCTATGTGTGTCTAGGATAAGTTGTTAAAGAAAGAAAATGCTTCTGAATGCTAGAAAACGGAGCTTTTGTCTGACTTTGGCCCAAATAACTGTGATTTTAGATCTAGCTTCAATTTAAAGACAAAAGAAAAGAAAAGCTGATGATAAAATTCAAAACCCAGTGTCTTAGGGAAGTCTATAAAACTGGCAGCAATGTTATCACAAGCATGCCACAGTAAAGACATAAAGATAAGATTCCAAGTGAACACATGGGACCCTTTAGAGATAAATAAGGACAATGGGTGAGGGATAAGGGTGAGGAAACTGTTTTCAAAACTAGCTGACCAAGTAGCAGGTTTCTTTATGGCTGCTCTGCATACTTCGTCCGGGCTGACCCTCCCCCACTCCTCTCCATCTCCATTCGCACATCCTCGCTTAAAGCCGTCATATCACGTGTTCTCTTACGTTCCCCCACCCTCCCACACAGCCTCTATTCTCACTGCTCGTGAAACCCCTTCTCATTTCCCGGCCTCTACACACAATCATCCAATGAAGCTACGATCCACAGATGAGGGAGGCAGGAATACACAAAGAATACACAAAGAACTAAAAACAACTAGACAACAAGAAAGAACCCAACTTAACAACAGCAAAAGAAGAAGAAGAATGGGCCAAAGTGCGCAAAACAAACGGCTAATAAGTATTTTTAAAAGTGCTCAACCTCCATAGCCTTTAGGGAAGTGCAGATTAAAGCGTCTTGGAGAGACCATCTCATTCATGCCAGTGAGAATCAGCAAATGTCAACAAGGGTGTGGGGAGAGAGGCAGCCTTGGTGACTGTTGGTAGAAGCATGAACTGCTGCAGGTACACTGGAAATCAATGTGGAGGCTTCACTGAAAGCTAAGCATCCAGCTACCATGTGACCCAGGGCACTGTTCAGGTGTACGTCCAAAGGACTCCATATCCTACCTACTACAGAGGTGACCCAGGGCACTGTTCAGGTATACGCCCAAAGGGCTCTGTACCCTACTACAGAGATGACCCAGGGTACTGTTCAGGTACACACGAAGGACTCCATACCCTACCTACTACAGAGATGACCCAGGGTACTGTTCAGGTATATGCCCAAAGGGCTCTGTACCCTACTACAGAGATGACCCAGGGTACTATTCAGGTACACACATAAAGGACTCCATACCCTACCTACTACAGAGATGACCCAGGGTACTGTTCAGGTACACACGAAGGACTCCATACCCTACCTACTACAGAGGTGACCCAGGGTACTGTTGAGGTACACACACAAAGGGCTCCATACCCTACTCCAGAGGTGCCTGTATACTGCTGCTCTATTACAAGGGCAAGGGGAAGGTTTTAGCAGCAGGACAAATAAATGGTCTCTGCCGAGGAAAATGTAGCACCTCAATGAAGCAAAGAACAATAGTAAAGCTTGA